AAAAAAATAAAACAACATTAAAAATCTTACTGTTCAAAAACTTTTGACTGGTAGTGTAGGCTGATTATTCTTATAGATTGAAACAAATGTGCTTCAGCCAGAAAAAAAGGGTATGAAAAGTGCTCCGAGTTGCTGCAGAAAACAAAAAAATTGAACAACAAAAACTGGAAATGTTGCTGGAGACGGGCTTATTTAAAATGAAAACTCATTCTCTGCCTGCAGGAGGCGCTTTTAGAGTGATAGAACTAGCGGTTTCTCCAGTAATGGCTGTAATCAAAGCAGCTCCGCTCATGAACGCTTCTTTATCAGATCAAATGAAAATGCCATCGAAACTTTTCTGAAGACAGTCGGTTCCCTTCAGAGATACATTCATATAAAACACCCGCGCCGTGTTATGATTTTGAAACGTGCAGTGCTCATGTTTATTCAACGAAGTCAAACGGCACAAATAAATCAATGTATGGGAAACACTGGTAATGTATATCGAAATATCGGAAATGTGTTTAAAAATCATATCACCGTTATTGAAAAAAATTATATCGCGATACATATTGATATTGAATTATTGTCCAGCCCTACGTCTCACACAAGGTTTTCAAATTACTTTGTAAGTTATTTAATGAAGAAATATGAAGGCGAGTACCTCACCTTCAGCATTATAATTATTTCACCCGCTGCGGACAGAGACTGAGACGGTGCCGGCTGCATGTCGTGCCAAACCTCTCATGGCAGCGTCATCAGCTTGAGATCGTTTTTTTGAGATCGGCCTTTTAGAGACCACCGAACAATCATCCCAACGTGATTATCGGCCGATAGGGAGCGTTCAATTAAAGGACTGGTATTCCTGCAGCACGGAGGGCCGGGTGAGCTAAACTATAGAAGAGAGAGACAGAAAGAGTTGACAATAATGTTGATAGGAAGGCTCATCTCTCTCTCTCTCTCACGGGAAACGAGGAACAGACAGAGAGACAGCGGGAGAGAAAGAAGTGCTGATTGCGGTCTGAGAGACTCTTGCCGCTAGACAGTGTTTCCCCTGCTATTATATTAGGGGGGTGGCCCACCCCCCCAACGGCACCCCCCGCCCCCCTTGAAGGTCAAGTGTCGCGCTCTCTGTATCACGCACAGCGCGCGCACACACACACACACACATGTATTAAATGCCGCTCCAACTGAAAGCAGGTGATGGCGATTTACTATCAATCACGGAACCGGCTTTACTGACGAGATGCACATGACAATCACATGCGATTAATTGCACAGCCCTATAGCTGAGAACTCTGACTATATCACAAGAGGTCTTATCAAATAAACATCAAAAAGTATCAAAACACCCTGCTCAACTGATGGGTTGATGGGAGACTTTTAAATTGTAGTTCACCCAAAAATTCTCTCATTATCAACCAAATGGTTTCTGGTCCCCATTGACTTCCATAGTAATTTTTCCATACTACGGAAGTCAGTGGGGACCAACTACTTGGGCAACCACATTCTTCAAAATACCTTCTTTTATGTTCAACGGAAGACAGAAATTTATACAGGTTTGGAACAACAAGAAGGTGAGTAAATGATTACAGAATTTTTCATTTTTGGAGGTTCCTTCATCCTCTGAATAACTAAAGCTGGATTTGACCTTAAACAGACCAGATTGAACTGGTTTCACCTGGATAACCAATGGACACTGGAAATGTGTTGATAAGAAAGCATCTCTTTCACAGCTCTGGGTCTAGATAGTGAGCAACCTGAATTCCTGCCTGTCTAACCAGTCTAGACCAGAGGTCCCCAACCACCGGGTCGCGACCCACTACCGGGCCGTGGAAGAATTGCTACCGGGTCGCAAGAACGTTCTGGGAAAAATGTGTATAGATATGACACTCTGTTATTTATTTATGTTAATGATTGTTCTAATTATTCTGTATTTTCTTTGTATGCGATTGATATGGAGTAGCAATTTGACAATTTCATGTTAAATAAGTAAATGAAAGATTGCTCTGATCCGTCACATATTAGGAGTTAAACGGATCGCAGTTGATCCGTAATACGTACGGATGAGACCCTACCGTTCGGCACACGCTTGATTCGCAGATTAATTTGCCAATTTACACGTACAAGCAATTTTAAATCACAAGAAGAAGAAACGAAAGAGAGCTCAATTTGTTACTCACGCGCTGTTCTCGCACACAA